CGAGCGAGTTAGCTTCTCCTACTTGGTCATTTCCAATAACAATAATGCTTCCCTGTGTGGCTCCTTTGGGCCAGCGCATCACTCGATCATTCCAAAAGTCTACCACATAGATAGTGCTCAATTGATCGACGACCAGTGCAAAAGGACCATCTAATTGTGAAAGAGAATTTCCTCGACCTTAACCACCGGCCACGACAATGCCTTCTTTCGCGCCTTTCACCCACTTTATTACGCGATTATTAACAAAGTCCGATACAAATACTGAATGATCTCGATCGACGAATACGTGGGTAGGTTCACTGAGTTGATCGATCTGATCGCCGTTTCCGTTGCCTCCTGCCACGACTGTTCCATTAGTCTCTCCTATTCGCCGTCGTTTAACTTCGCTTTTTTCTTGATCAGAAACGTAGAGTAATCCATCGTCGTCCATTGCCAAGCCCCAGCATGCGACATCTGAGATGATTATTTGCCCACTTGTTTGATCTCGACGAGACCATCGCACCACGCGTCGATTACCATGGTCACAGATAATAAAACTATCTGTCTTTTTGTCGATAATCACATCTGTTGGCTTGTCCAGCTGATTAAGTCGGTTTCCTTCTCCATTTCCACCAGCAACCACTTGGCCACTAGTGGCACCATACTTCCATTCCATAACACGGTAGTTGTCGAAGTCAGCGATAAAGACAGTTTGATCTTCATCAACATATAAACCGTGTGGCGTATAGAGTTGATTCAATTCATTGCCTTGCCCATTCCCTCCAGCCACAATGACGCCATGCTGTGCCCAAGTAGCATCTGGTGGGATGTTAATGATTGAAGAAGATGCTACGGTGTAAAAGAAAGAAACTAATACAATTTTCATCATTTGGGGAAGGAGAAAAATAAATGTATCGATCATTTTGAGAAAAAGTTCTGAAAACTGAAGTTAGAAAGGCGAGAACGAAAGGGAGTGAGAGCTATCTGTCTCGATTAACCCCACATCTGACTGATGGAGTGGCATGTGCGAATCAACCAGCAGCTTGATGAATATCGATTAAGAAAAGATCTCTTCATGTAGATTATATATGCTATAACTATGTATTATTATTCATATAAATAAAACTGTACCTGCTGTTGTAGTTGATGTTGTTGTAGTTGCTGTTGTTGTAGTTCCTATTGTTGAAGTTGAAGATATTCCTAAATTGAACTGACACATTAAATCAATTTTCAAAGTAAATATTAAACACATTTTTTAAATTTGTACTGAAATAAATACTAAATAGGATATTTAATATGTTTTAAACATGTATCTACATATAAAAGTGCCAACTCAAGTTCTATGATCACAATTTGCCTATAAACACGAACTGTATGTAAAGAGAGAAGCGTATCTCAGAACGATTTGTCTATAGGAGAGATTTTGGTGTAATTATGTTGAGAAAATGTATCTAGGAAAACATTACATCCTGTGATCGATTGCACTCAAATCTCTTCATTTTCATGTTCGATTAAAATTCTTAATAAAGTAGCATAAAGTATAAAGATATCAGAATTGAACTAACAATGTTACCAGCGGTTGTTGTTGTTATTAATTGAGCTAAAGTTGTGGATTGATGCGTACGAGTAGCTAATGGTATAGTGATGGCACAAATGATGATAATAATAATAATTGCACTTATAGCAGCGATCAAATATCGTCTTCTTCCTGAGAATATCGTTCTCAATCTTCTGAAAACAATAAAGATTCGATAATAATATCTGTTTCATAAATAGAAATATGATCGAACTTACTGATAAATGCTTTCATTCTTGTCAAATCGTTTCACAATAACAGGTGAAGTATTTAAAGGCGTGAGAGTGAATATATTGTCCATTTTAATAACCTGTTGAACGAATAATATTATAACAAATATAAAATAAATACTTTATTTACAACTTTTTAAATAATATTATCCACACTTGAATAACTATGAAATAATTTGATTGATAGATAAAAATGTTAACTACACTGAAGAAATACTGAGAAAAATAATTATAATTCCCGAGACTAATACAAAAAGTTATTTTAGTAAAAAATAATTAATCTTTTTAAATCGGCTTTTTAACATTCAAAATATATTTCTGTCCGCCTGTGGAAATCATATTTTACCTTTCAGTTTGCACCAAAAATCAAATTTCTTTTCGACTAATGTGATATTCGTCCGCTTATTATCTATTATCAAGAAGCAAGCGTTTATATATACATCGCAATAAAAAAGCAAACACATCACGAGAGAAAGAAAAAAAAGAGAGTTTTACAAAGGTGAAAAGATACGCGAATGACGGTGTCGAGCAGAATTGCTTTCATCGTGATGATAAAGTTTCTTACTTTCTGTACCACTATCTTGAAATCTTCTTCTCAACTAAAAATTACTCTCATTGATTGAAAACATACGCACATATAATCATATTAGACATATATCAACAGTATACCCTAGGATTTTGATGTAAATACTCAAAATGCATCATATTCTTTCATCAATATTCAAAGTGAACGCATTGTTTCATTTTTTTGTTCCCGAAGTGCGTATAGCTGTATTCATACTGCAATCACATACATCTTGGATCAAGGAAATCTATTTGATCATGCTTGAACTTCTATATGTAATGATGATCAAAGATGAGCATTAATGATTATATATAAATTAAATGATATTAGAAAATTAAACGATTCAAATGTTTAGTAGCTATTAAAAAACATGTATATCATAAATCTATCTCACAAAGCTTTTAGCCAAACAGAAATTTGAATGGTAATAATCATTCTACGAAAAGAAACAAGTTAATTAATTGTGTTCGACAATAATGCTTGATTTTTGATAATGATGTATGTTTGTACCATGTTTCCTACAAGAAAAAAATGAATAAATTAACAGAATACGAACGATGAGATAAACTAGTATTAATAGTCTCTTTATGGATTCTGATCGAAACATAAGTGACACAACATACTTGTCTTAGGCAAAAACAGGACCACAACAACAATCACCATCAGGATCACAAGGACCATCATTAGCACAACAAGGAGGACCACAATCCTCGCCACCAATACATTTACAAGGCACAGTACAAGGAATATAAATAAAAACAATATTACAAGCACAAATACAGGATCGAAGAATACGGCCAAAACCAACACAACAAGGAAATTCACCGCTATTATCACCCATTCTGATTATAATTCAGAGAAATACCTAAAAAGGTCAATAGAATAAAAATTTTTATTATTCATGTCTATGATATTGGAAATATTTAATATTTGCTTGTTATGATCTGTGACATTCTTCTACACTTCGATCAATAAAAATGAAAAAAAAAATATCTGAAGTTATAATTCGAATAGGGATTAATAGAGAAATTTATCGACAGCAAACGAAAGAAAAATGACAGAAATGACTAATACTTTTAATAATGAATACCATCTCCTATTAATACAATATATCCAATAAATACATTAGCTTCATAGGTAATAATATATATATTTTTTTCGTTCTTTCTGTTCTCTTTCACTCTTTTCAAAAGAGTCTTTTGTGCTTTCTATATTCCATTGAATTGTAACAGTCGAAATAACATAAAAGAAGCATAGAAAAAAAAAAGAATTTCTTCAAATTGCAATGCTGTGTAAACTTATCATTTCATACAAAACACCTCTTATAAGGAAAGATTTCCAGGTGTGTCCTGCGGTTCTCAATCAAAAGTGTGTGAGATGTGAAAAAAAATATATATGCTTGTCGCCTTCATAAAAAATTTGGCACACATGGTTCACTATAGAGATTTTTTGATATTCATTAATTTGTTTTTGAAGATTTTTCTTCTGTTATCGTTTTTATTCTGTTTTACTCTTTTCTCTTCTTCTATAAATTTCAAATGACGGAGCATGACAACGTTGGAACAGGAGAGAAAAAATATTCTTGTTTGCTTTAAATTATCATCATTAGACTGTATTTTTTGTTCTTGTTGTTGTATTGACATAAATTACTGATAGCAAATACTCATTGCAAGCACTCCTATGCTTACATCCGTTGATACCCAACCATCTTGAGGGTGTCACTATGATTATACATGAATAACAAATACCCACTTTCTATTTCTTTTTTCAAAGAGTATGCTATGACTCTCTGTTTGTCAACTCAAAACTTTTTAATGCTAATCCTACTCTACGTTGCATTAATATCGAGTCATTTGTTTCTGTTCGCAGGGAGTAAGGATGACAAAAGAAAAAAAAATCTTATCTACTGTTTCTATTATCTTTCTTTGAAGGCCTTTGCATCTATAAATATAAGAAACACAACCAGCTTATATTAATTTTCTCATTTTGTATGCGATAATGAGAATGTTATCGAGTCCTCTAATCGTTCTTATTCTTTTCTTGACGATTGGTACGAGTGTATGCTATGAGAAATCATACGCAAATCATCAAGTATGGCGTTTACATATTACTAATAACGAACAAATCGCTAAAATATCGGCTTTCAGTCATATAGCCCACTTGCACGATATCAATTTTTGGTCAGAACACTTTCGCATTGATGAGCCAGTAAGTTTCTATTAAAATATATTTCCTTTCCTTACAATTGATGATCGATTTTTTTTCTCAAATAGGTCGATGTTCGTGTGCCACCTGCCGCAGTCGATAGTTTCGCTGAGTTTTTAACATCGGACGGTGTGAAAATTGAATATGTAGTTCATATGGGTGATGTTGGTGCAATAATTGAAAATCAAAAAATCGTACAAAATTTAACTCGATTATTATCGAATACAAATGATTTTGCCTACGATAAATACCATACTCTTGAAGAAATTCAGGCATGGATTGATCAAATGGTTTCAACTTATTCTGAATTAGCCACACTGTTTACCGTTGGAAAATCATATGAAAATCGAGATATAATAGGCTTCAAAATTTCATCAAAGAAAATGGCAACTAAGCTCGATGGTACCAAAACTGCCATGAAAAAAGCTGTTTGGTGGGATGGAGGTCTCTTATTCTTTATTTTTTTTTTTTGTAAATCACATTTATTTTCGACTGCATCTATATATAGGAATTCATGCTCGAGAATGGATTAGCCCGGCAACAGTCATCTATATTGCCTATACATTTTTATCAAAGTATGGCCAAGATCCAACTATTACGCATTTAGTTGATCAATTTGATTTTTATATTTTGCCCGTCTTTAATGTTGATGGTTATGTATATACATGGACAAAAGGTAATATTGAATATCGAAAAAACAAATACTTCTATTAAAGTTTCTTTTATTTTTTCAAGATCGATTGTGGCGCAAGACTCGTAGTAAAACATCAGTTCCAACATGTTTTGGTGCCGATCCAAATCGTAATTGGGATTATCATTGGTGTGAAAGTGAGTCTGTCGTTTACTCATGATGATTCATTTATTTTCACAACAATAATTCTAGATGGTGCTTCGCATGATCCTTGTTCAGATACTTTTTGTGGTGGGAAAGCATTCTCTGAAATTGAAGTATCCCAAGTAGCAAAATATATTGCTGATCAACAAGGTGCAATTGTACACTATATCAATTTCCATTCATATTCACAATTGTGGATGTCACCATGGGGTAACCTTTGAATGTTAAATTCAATCTTATCTACCAACATTTCTCTTTAGGTTGGACGGCAGCAAGACCAGCACAATACAAATTACAAGATGATGGATCTGTGGTAGCTATCAATGCACTTGCTGCTTTATATGGTTCGTTTACTTCGAAATACTCCGTATTTCAGACTCATTTTTATTTAATATTAAAGGTACCAAGTATGGACATGGTTCTATTGCTGAAATCATCTATGTTTCATCGGGTAGTTCAGCTGATTGGACATATGGCACAGCTAATGTAACATTTAGTTATGGTGTCGAACTTCGTGATACTGGTAAGTATAATTATTCAAATTTAACGAAATTCTCTTGGATTCTTGTTTAATAGGTGAATATGGTTTTTTGCTTCCCGAAAACCAAATTATTCCAACTGGTCAAGAAACATTGGCTGGTTTAATTGCCTTAGTTCAATACATTGAAAAACACGTCTACGCTTAATATAATAAACTCTTAAAAATCCATGTCTTTCAATTGCTCTTTTGAATTAATAAATAGTTTTTCAAAATCTTTTTTTTTCATAAAAATCTTAATTGAGAAATAATATATTCTTACATGTTCTATCAGAATATGAATGATAGACACATCAAAAAATACAAAACATTATTTATTTATTTACGCAATTACATAAGCGCTTGAGGATCTACTAAAATATCTCTTATATACATAAAATTCGTTTTTTCGTAATATAGTTTTTTGAGAAATTTGTCTTTTAAAAAGAAATCGATAATGTCACTTGATCTGCATAATATGGATTAATTTGATGCAACAATTGATATAATTCTCCATAGAACAGATTTTGTTCTCGTTTATCTTTCAGTAGATTTCTAAACATATATTGTGATGAGCCGTATAGAAAATGAGCAACGAAATTTAACCAAGCGGAATTCAGTGTAGGAATATGAAATTCTTTTGCAATAGTTGGCAGTAGTTGATAATAACCACTTGAACTTTTCCAGACTTCATTATGCTCAACAGCATGAACGATCGACGAAAGAAATAATAATTCGCCATCAATGGGTACTTGATATTTGTAGATAAGTTCAAACAAAATCTTTCGTGCTCGGTACATAAAATTCATTGCTAATGATTTTTCTGCCAAAATCTTCACTGCCTTCATATGTTTTGGTAAAATTATTCTGCATCCATTATATTCTAAAAGAATAGACATCCACTTTGTCGAACCTCCATACAACCAACCAGAAAAATTCCATGATACATGATTTACATATTGTCCATGTAATAAAAGATCATCATACACTGATTCCAAAATTTGACGATTATGTGATGGCGAAGCATGTCTATTAACAAACAAATATTTTTATTAAATCTTTGACTAAGTTTTGATTTATAAAAGATAATGGCTAAAGCAAAGACTGCAATTATCGGTATGTTATTGAAATATCTCGAGCTCTCAGAAATAATCTACGATGGTACTTACTCTGTGTAACCATAATTATATAATTGATCGAAAAATGAATGAATCATTGGATGAAATACTACAGCATAAACTGTAATTATCAGTGTTAATTGTTCGTTAGAATCCTTAATTTGAACACCATTGAATTCAAAAACAATTATTTTATAATGTTTATTTTCACCAATGGATTCTTTGTGAACTTCAATTTCAGCAGAAATCCTTAATTTATTATCATATTTATTAATCATTTCTATGAAAGCAAAATTGTCGAGAGAAAATTCCATTAATTCTAAATTTTCAGATAATTGTGTGAATTTTGTATATAATCCAGCTGATGTATTTAATATAAATTCACAAACAGCTTTATCATTTGCTATTGGCTGTTGAATTAGTTTTAAATGCAGAGCAATTGTTCGAGAGGAACACACAAAAAAATGAATAATATAATTTAATTTCACAGTCCAACTCATAAATGCATGTCGTAATGTAATTCGTGTTGGTATTAATGTTCGCTTTTCTAAACCAATGGTAATACTATTAACGCTTGTTTCATATTTGTTCTGTATCCCATGTCGACGGTTTCCATAATTGATATGATAATATAATTGATGTATAATCAAATAAAGTTGATGTAAAAATAAAATTACAATCCCTTCAATAACTATTCTAAGACAATCATCCTTATTTTTAGTATTGATAAGGCAAATAATTGTCATAATCATAATAATCAACGTAGAAAGTGCTGTGTGCATTTGTATGATGAATGAATCTTCAAGAAATTTAATGAAAATGAATATTTATTAACAAAATGTACTCTTCAAAGGTGGGTAGGTGATAGTGGGTATGAATATGTTTCTTCTCTTAATCCGTGCCTTCATATTCATACGTGGGTATCGGATAACCGATCCAGCTGCAGAAAAGTTGTTCATCCTTACTCAAAAAATTTGGTTTGTAATGATCTTTCGATATTCTGTTAATCTTAATTGTATGTTTTCGAACAACGTACTTATCGACTTCGAAGAAGAAAAACGATTACATGAATAATATCTAAATTATATGTCAGAGCAACGGTTATCGACTAGAATGTATCATCTACTAGAACTTATTAAGATTCTGCTAATTCACATTGTGACGATTTTTGATAGAAGAAACTTTAGTACTGATGAAATTACGCTTTATTCTATTTTTCCTTATTAAGAATCGCATCATTTTCATACAAAGCATACACTTATAGATCCATTCATAAGTGATAACAAGGACAAAATATCACACAATGTATGGAATACGGGTAATATATCAAATCAGAAGAAATAATAAAATGGGGACAAACAGCGTTACACACATTCTCTGTTTAAAATATAGATGTAATGATTCATATGTTGCGCTATGTATAGAAATTTATTTTCAATTAACTGAAGAAGTTTTGTATGGAAGTTTTCATGGACTTACCTTTGAAAGATTTGATTAACACTCGCGTAAATACAGAATAAACCGCTTCCCGAGCTTTATGAAGAAAATAACGTTTCGTCATTATATTTATTGTTGCTTACCTTTTTACGCAGAAAAATAACTGTATGACGTCTTTTGCGTATATATATTATACATTTACAGCTGCAATAGCAATTAGTTTACAACTATGAATCTTTTAACGTCCATTATTTACACGTGCTGTTTTTTTTTGTTCCTTCATACTTTTAATGACAGGTTGCGCCCTTTGTACACCTTACCAGTTATAATAAAATTTCTGCACTTGAAAAACATTTTCATCATCAAAGCAAGAGGAAAGATATGTAAATAATAATCAAGATTTGCGCAACTATTATAAATGCAGCGTCATATAAAATATCCAAAAAAGTTAGGTAACAGTAATACTGTAAGATTATGAGCGTGAAAAAATATCCTGGAAGGCTTACATATAATGTAAGGACTATTAACAATGTTTAGTATTACTATTTTGTAGTTTCATTATGAATACAATAGTGTTAAATTCAATTCAGCTATTCATTTGAGCATTCTTTTTAAGGATTCCACTCTAACCCATATTACAGTATCTTCTCTTTGAAGATTTTACCCTCATTCACACTGACATTTCCATCAGGAATTCCATCCTCAGCCACACTATAGTATCCCTTGTGATGATTTCTGACAGAAGGAGTGTTAGTGCTGATAGTATTATACTTTATCTGGAATCGTATCATTGGTATACAAAACATACGCTGATATCCTAGTCCATCAGAGAGAGTGAAAAAATATGAAAGCAAAGGATAATAAGGACAAAATAAGATGGAGACAAAGTATCGTACGATGTATAAAATAACGACAAAAAGGTAAAGACAATATGATGAACTCACGTGAGTTCATCATATGTAAATTATTTCTTTCTGGTATTTCTATACGTTTATCCAACAGGATGAGATGAGAATCGTTTCATGATAATGCAATAAAACTATCTTCTTGAAGGTAGAGATAAGAGCTAGGTCGCGTTTTACACTTTAATTCGGTTAGAAATTTTGCTAACACCTTTTCATTCAGAAATAAGGGGAGATCAAGGACTTGAAGGTCATGAGGTATTTTTAATACAAACATACGTTAGTTCAACATTTTTAGTTCCAACGGGGCTGCACTGGCAAGCCTTTTTTGACTAATATCTTCTGTTATGATAGAAAACGAGAAAAATTTCACTACAAGTTGATCTGCATGAGTCAGAATTTTAAATGCAATTTATTTTTTTGATAAAGAAAAGAATCAATATATCTTAATAGCAATAGGATTAATATCATATTTCTACTCAATGACGTGTAGAATGCTTTTTTTCTGACTCAATTGGAATCAACATAGATTAAAATATTAACTCGATAATAGAAATAAAAAGACAGGTTTCTTCGCAGTATTTTATGATTTTTCATACAAGCTACATACAGATTCGTGATTTGTGTTATTTTATCTTTGCGTCTCTCAGGTAGATCATATTTATTTTTATTGTTGATTTTTTTTTGATTTCAACGTCATAGATATAAATTTCATTCTATTCTTTCTTTATCATTTTCATATTATTCGTATGTGCACTGAATCTTAAAGAGAATAGTAAAACAAAGTATACGTCAATTATTTTGTCGTTTGTGTGAATTAATTAATACTATGCGCTTGATTGTTTCGTTTTTCTTATCTTCAATATGAATGCATTCATCAGTTTGAAAGAGAAAGATGCGTCAAAAATTATTTGTCATCATTCATGCTCACGTTTAGCCATTACAACATGTAATGTTATTCTTATCGATTTATATTTAAGAAAGTTATTATTTTAATCGCAGATAAGTTTTTTATCACTTCAGATATACTATATTAAAAGAGATCAGAAAGAAACCCCATCGCTAATATTTGTTAATGTATAATCATATAGCAGTATATACGAAGTAATCATAAATGCATATAAAATATTGATTGATAAGTTTATCTTTCTTATAATAACAAAATATAAAAGAGAGAATATTGTGAGTGTATTGTCATTTTCTGAACTTATCCTTTTTCATATCCATCTTGAGAAAAGCATCATATATTTTTATTCTAACTATTAAACATTATTTAATAAGTATTCTCATTTAGTACTAAAGATGAATTCAATTTCGATGTATATCATATTATTTTGTTGTTTAATATCCAATAACAAAACATTAGGATTTCATTTCCAACACAAATCATATAACAGTGCAAATAATCGTTTGAATCATGAACTACGAGCAATCACTACTAAACCAGGACTCGTGACAAATTTACATACAGTGTATGCTAAAGACAATTATAATGTCTATTTAGCAGGTGAAAAGGTGAATGCAGCATCTGTTAACTCATTGGAATCTTTAGATAATGGTTATGCGAAAGACAAATCAAATGTCTATTATATGAATAATAAACTAGATGTTGTATCTGTTAATTCATTCAAAGGATTAGGTAGTGGTTATGCCAAGGATAGTTATAATGTTTACTATATGGGTAAAAAGTTAAATGTTATATCTGTTAGTTCATTTCAAGGTTTAGATGATGGTTATGCTAAAGATAGTTACAATGTTTATTATATGGGTACAAAGTTAGATGTTATATCAGTTAGTTCATTTAAATCGATAGGAAGCGGTTACGCGAAAGATAGTTATAATGTTTATTATATGGGTAAAAAATTGAATGTTATATCTGTTAGTTCATTCGAAGCTTTCGATAGTGGTTATGCCAAAGATAGTTATACTGTTTATTTGACTGGTGAAAAAATCGATGTTATATCTATTAGTTCATTTCACACTTTAAATAACGGTTATGCTAAAGATACTTATAATGTTTATTATATGGGTAAAAATTTAAATGTTATATCTGTTAGTTCATTTCAAGGTTTAGATGATGGTTATGCTAAAGATAGTTACAATGTTTATTACATGGGTAAAAAGCTAGATGTTATATCAGTTAGCTCATTTAAAGCATTAAGTGGTGATTATGCTAAAGATAATTATAATGTCTATTATATGGATAAAAAACTCGATGTTATATCAGTTAGCTCATTTAAAGCATTAGACAGTGGTTATGCAAAAGATAATTATAATGTTTATTACATAGGTAAAAAGTTGGATGTTATATCTGTTAATTCATTCGAAGCTTTAACCAATGGTTATGCGAAAGATAATTACAATGTTTATTATATGGGTAAAAAGATGCAAGATGCTTCAGCTAGTTCATTTGTTTTACTCAAAAAACAGTGAAGATTAAAACATTTTATGAACTGAATTTTAATAATCTAATTGAATTTGTTAACTTTTAATTAAAAGAATTTCTTATAGTTGATGAAAAGTTCTATTGATACATTCAAATAAGTTCTGCTGTAATCAAGGGCGGCGGAGCCTCATTAACCTAAGTGAGGCTCACAATATTGTTTTCTACTTTGAACTTTTATTACTACATGAAGTAAAATTTAAGTCTTCTTTTTATTATACCTCAGTAAAAAATACGACGGTCAACGTGAAAATAAAAATATATAAAAAATAGGTGAACCGCATTATAAGATAGATATGTCAGAACATATATCTAATTATGTTAGCTGCCGAACATAACAAATTCTAATAATAAAAGATAATATTTAATTCAAAAATAACTGAGGCTGAGCCTCAAGAGCTGAAAACTAAGTGAGGCTTAAGCCTCTTGAGCCTCCACGCTCCGCCGCCACTGGCTGTAATTCCATTCATTTAATATATCTAATATTACAGAAAAATAAAAAATTTCTTCGAACTTTTAGTAAGAATATAAGACAGAAACTATAATATTTCTGGATTGTTTTATATAATTTAATTTAAATAAATATATGTCGAAATCTGTTCAACATATATCTAAGAAATAAATACTTTATTTTACTTGACGAATTATATGCATTGAAATATTACCTTCAAAAAAATGTGATAAATTCAAAAAAAATAATTTTTGTCATAAAATGCACTTGCAAGACCTTTTTTAAAAACCAATATATTGTATGTCATGTTCATATTAGACCATAAATATAACATATGGTAAATGAGTGTAGATTCTATATTTAAACTTGAGTGAAGAAAAGTCACAAATGTAACAGATGAATAGCGTTTAGTTTTATTGTGGAGATATTTCTCTAGTATTAAACTATCGTCATTTTACTTTTTTTTCTTAGTGGGAATAAATAGCAGCACTGTATCCGTTTCTCCAATGATATCTTTACTGAAAAATTACTTTCGGAAAGTAAATATTTACGATTGTGATCCTCATCTAACTCCTGAACAACGTGATCATGAGAATCGTTCGAACATAATTGCTACTCGAGTCTTTTTGATTGTTCTTATAATTACTCTCATCATCTTTATTTTGGCTTTTCAACTAAGTTACCAAACAACAATTGTTACAATATCTAATCCAACTCAAGAACAATTTGAAAATTTACCTTTCACTGCCTATTGTCCATGTTCTCATATTTCTATATCTTACAATCAATTCACTAGTATTAATGTGAGATTTCATCAAGTTTGTTCAAGTGATTTTATTTCTGATCGATGGATTCAAAGTATTTTTACGGGTTCAAATACAACATATTTTTATATAACAGACTTTCGTACTTATGGAAGCGCAGCATTTCAAGCACTTGCAAGTTTTTGTCGTCTCTCAAAAACTAATGCATTTCAAAGTATTACTTTATTCAATCAGTTGTCACTTATTAGTCCAGAAATATTAACTCAGCCAGTATTTCAATCACAAATTGATGCATCGATTAAACAATTTCAATTGACAACACCTAATGAATTCAGAGCTCAATTAAATTTAGTACAAGAAATGACAACCCATAGTAAATTACAAAGTGCCCTTCAAACCAATTATGATTTGTATTATTACGCTCTTAACACCTGGCAGTTCGTCCCAGAGAAAGGTGCTATAGGATATTTTCCTAGTAACGGTAATTCTTGCTATTGTACCAGCGATTTTAATTGCAAAGCACCATCGAAAATATACGATATATATGGAGAAGCTACTCAACTTATTGGCAATAGCAATTCAAAGATTTTAATGCGTATTAATGGATTTAAAGCTAGTTGTTTACCGGTGAGCGCAATACTTTTATCAACACTTGAATGTTTTTACAATCAAACATGTTTGAATCAACTTATTTCATTTTTTTCTACCAATGAAAAATTTCTTGCAATGAATTTTTCCGAACAAAGTCGTTTTACAATTAATTCAACTGTACAAATGCTTGTTAATGAACTTATGATAGAAGGATGGATGACAAATATTTCTTATAATAAATATTTTCAACAATGTGCACCTAATTTATGTACTTATACAAAAAATGACAAATATAGTTTTACATTTATATTAACAAAAATTATTAGTCTACTTGGTGGATTTACATTAATATTGGGTGTTTCTATTCAACTTATAATAAAATTTATAAGACGATTACCAAGAACTGAACCTATTACATGTAAGTAAAACAAACAGTCTATTTTTGAGGGTGTGGGTATGTGTGAGTGTGTAGGCATGGGTGCAGCAGAATTAATGCCCACACCCAAACCCATATTTACAACCACAACCACACCCACATCAACACCATCACCCATACCCACCCCTCACTGATATATATTTAAAATTGTTTCTAAATCATTTATTTTTCTAGTGTGTCAACAGATTAAATATCTCTTTCGAAAAATATGGACAAGACTTAATATGTTTAAACATCATGAAAGCAGTGAACAGCAAAAGAGATATCAACGTCAAAGTACACGTTTATATATATTTATTCTCATTATTACTTTGAGTATATTGAGTGTATATATATTAATCGAGGAAGGAGTTCATCGTATAACTATTTTAAAACCAACAGAAAATCAATATAAACATTTTCAAGAGATCTATTCTAATAAAAGTATATGTCCTTGCTCTTCTATCACAATGACTTACTCAAATTTTATTACTATTCAACCATATTATCATCAAGTATGTTCAAGTGACTTCGTTTCTTCACAATGGATTCAATACAGTATAAGTAATATTAAAAACAGCACTTATTATTTTGCTGATTATGCAATCAATTCACAATCACAATTTCAACTACTTACAATGTTATGTCAACAAGCTCAACAAATAGTTGATAATGGTATTGAAACATTTCTTCAAACACAATATGTTTCTTCACAAATCGATTCTCAAGATCTATTTCAATCGAAAATAAATTTATTGATAACTGATTGGCGATCAACAATTTTAAATAGATATTTACGTCCTATTAACATTATACGAACAATAAGTCAAGGAAATTTACTAATGAATTTCGGTTTAAATAATCACTTTTCCGTAACAAATTCAACTTATACAAATACAAAAATAATTTTAAATAAGTATTCGAATTGTTCTTGTGCACTCTCTTCTCAATGTATGCAAGTTATGGGCATATATAAACAGATATCTGCAGCTCGATTCCAACTAATACTTCCTATTCCAAATTTTTTTATTGGTTGTTCTCCCGTTGAATCATTACTTAAATCCACTTTGGAAATTTTTTATAATCGAAGTTACATGGTTGAGATAGATAAATATTTACTCAATTCTCTCGGATCATCTTTCAATTTTTCTGCTTTAAATCCAAAATTAAGCTTACCAAATGAAACAGTTGAAATCATCGTTAATCGACTTATGATTGATTCATGGTCATCAAATATTTCTTTTTCTTCATATTATCAAGCATGTGATCCATTATCATGTACAATTGAATATATTGGTAAAAATAATATATTAGATGTGGTTACATCTATTATTGGTATATTTGGTGGATTATCAGTTGGATTAAAACTTTTTTTTTATTCTTATTCTTCGTTCTAGTGAAAAAATAGCGAATAATCTCTCATTTGTTGCAATGAAAACAGTGATAAAAAACTTATTTATATGTTATAATCAACAACAAATGATTACTCGACTTCAAATATTTTTTCTTACAATATCATTATATTGTATATTTTTATATTCTACTTATACAACAAAATTAATAACTGTCGAGATTAATAAACCAACATATTCAACTTATCAAACTTTATCATTAAATTATTCTCAATCACTTCAATGTTTTTGTTCTGATATATCGATACCATATAAATCATTTCTTACGATTAAACCACGTTTTCATGATTTATGTTCAAGTCAATTTGTTTCTCAAAATTGGATTAATTATCTTTATGGTGAAGGTAATCTTGTTTATCGATATTCTTTTACCGATTTTCGAGCATCAGCTGTTGGTCAATTTCAATTACTTGCTTCACTCTGTGAAATTTCTCAAGAAACAATCAATACAAGTCTTGTACAATTACTTAAAAGTGATTATAATGATCGTCAATTATTATCGGAACAACGTCTGAATCAGTTAATTCAAATACAGATCAATCAATTTCAATTAGTTACACCAAATTCATTATTAAATATTCTCAATTTAATTCGTGAAACTATAGGCGCTAATATGATTGTTAGTGTATGGTCTGTTAACTGGTTAATCGCTACTGAATCTATTATTCATCGTACATGGACTGCACATACAATACCAATAGTTTATAGCAAATGTAATTGTGGATCATCATGGACATGTACACAATCATCACAAGGTATGATGGTTGGTTGTTATCCACTTGAATCTCTTCTTCAAACAACACTTCAATGTTTTTATAATCAAAGCTGCATTGATTCGACAAACAAATTTACGCAACTGAATATTTCGTCTCTTAAGACAAGTCAATACCGAATGAATACAACTATTCAAACAATTTTAAATAATCTAATGATTGAAGAATATATAATTAATAAATCTTATGAAAATTATTTTAATCAATGTGCACCATCTTCATGTTCATATAATTATATGAAAAAATATCAAGTTACTGAAGGAATTATAAACATCATTAGTCTCTATAGTGGATTAGTAATTCTTACCGGTTGTTTATCTGTGGTACTAATTAAATTATGTTCATATAGATCAAATAGAATTACAATAGAAATTACAGAACAAAATACGTAGTTGATTGAAATAACGATATTTCTACGTTTTGAACAAATTTTTCGGAATATATATGTGTATATGTTGTCAGTAATACAGCTTTACATGTTGTATAACTTCTATCTAGTATTATTATTATAGAATTTTGAAAAGGTATGGGACAGCAAAAACAGCATCCACATCCGTCATAAAATGTATATCAGTTTTTGATATATAAAAAAGCAACACTTTTTCTTGAAGTGAATAAAATTAGTTTATATAAGGTCTATCTAAACATGTTCTTATCATTGACAAAAAAATCAGTTAATTTATTCAAGTCTTAATCGAGATATTCAGTTTGTTTCGGATTGCATAACGAAAGAATCATTCTGTAATTACATTTGCATTTGCACATGCGTTATCGATGTAGGATAGCAGTGAACAGAAAAGAAAAAAAATTGTATTTCATGGGCGTTGTCAACCGTGCAGAATTTCAAAAAGATTATTATAATGACTGATTTCGTTCTGCAGTTAATATTTATTTATGAATACGATGTGGAGTGGGTGGGTGTGGGTGAAGGTATTAATCGATCTTTCACACATCCACTTCCTTCTCATTGTTGAAGAGCATAAGAAATTTAGTTTTTTCTTTTATGCAAGAAAGAGGAGAAGATGATACTTCTCATTTGGATATTATAAGCAGAAGAGGTAAGTGTGAGCATTGTTTTTATTATACTTTTATCCTTATCTATTCCACACTCTTATCCATCCTACACATCTACCTGTCTACCGATGTTCTCACCCTGAATGAATAAATACACGTAGTTGTCTACTCATACTCTCATTTTTTTTGTGCGCAGTAGAGTCGACCTTTGAATGTACTTTTTCTTTTATTCATTTGAATGGTCTGGGTAATCAGAAACAATAAGCTCGTGACAGTCGTATTCGTTAGTATTACTTTTATGAATTTCGCCGAGATTTATTTCTTTATCACAACAAAAAAAATTGATTGTTTTCATATTCCATTTTAATTAAATATATAAGGCTTTTTCTGTCTATTTGTTATTCCTTGATTTGAATGTCTGCGCAATATCCATTTTTTTATTTTGATACCGTATAAATTTTTCATTGTTGATGTCAAACATTAATTTCTTGTTCTCTTATACTTATATATAAAGCGAATAATTCATTGTGTTTTCAAAACACAATTTTTTTCTTGATTATCAAAATGCAATTCAGTTTTTCTGTTATTGTGCTGGCTCTTCTTTTCGGTTTCGCTGATTCAAGCCATTTTCGTGGTGGTAGTATTGCATGGAAACCTGTCAACGTAAGTGCAGTTACTAACAGTACAGTTGATATTATTGTTGAGCAGAGTTATTCATGGCTACGTTCAACTTACGGATGTAATGATACAACAATTGCTACCCAAGGCCTCATCGGTAATCCTTATTATTTACAATGTTCAATAAGTCCTTGCGACGGATATACTAACAATCTCTTAACTACTGTTCCGTGCACAGATTATAGTGTTAGTGCTAGTATATCTAGTGGTAAAAAATCAAGTATATTGACTTTGAACAGCAACTCACAGCTTACTCTGACGATGGCTGGAGATGCATGGCTACCACTACTGACTGTTGCAACATATTGGAGTATTACAACTATGATTAATTTACAGCAACGTATTGATAATGGTCGTCTTAACACACCACCTGTCTCAACTGTTCTGCCTGTAATCAGAGTTCCAATCAACATTCAAAGTACTATAATAATACCTGTAGCTGATGATGATAATGACTATGTGCGGTGCCGTTGGGCTCAGAACAATCACACTATTAATTTTTCTCAGAATAATGTTACAGTAGACGAGTGTGCAGATGTATGTAATGCTGTACCGAACGCTACACTCTATGGTGATAATAATGGAACATCGTGCCAACTGATTTTTACTGGTAGTACAGTCGGTTTCTATGCCGCTGCTCTACAAATCGAAGACTTCTACAATGATGAGAATATCACTGCACCATTGAGTTCAACACCAGTACAGTTCCTGATTAGTGTTTATAATGGTAGCTGTCAGCCAAGCATTATTGGTGCACAGCCCAATGGTGCCTTGATTAACGTTGCACTAAATACGAGTATGTCATCTGTGACCATAATTGCACAAATCGGTTGTATTAATACGACAGTTGTTGATTTTCTCAAAATAAGTCCACCAGGCATGACTACATCAGCGATTGTTCAAAATCCAACAAATTCAAGTCTCTTTTCAATCCAGCTGAATTGGATTCCAGCAACACTAGGATCACAAGTATTCTGTTGCGCAGCTATTGATAATAATCTAGGACAATCAGATATGTATTGTAAGTGATAACTATGGTATTTATGAACGATCAACCTCATTAATGTATTATTCATTCTCTTTGTAGGTGTAACGTTTCTGGTTACAGACTTTCTGATTACTACAGTGACAACTTCAAGCACTACAGTAACAACTCTAAACACTACAATGACAACTCCAAACACTACAGTGACAACTTTAAACACTACAGTTACAACTATAAGCACTACAATGACAACTCTAAATACTACAGTGATACCAACCGGTAAGTTTTCTTTATCGTAAAGCACAACTATCGATTGGTATGTTGTTAAGATGAAACGATCGAATCCTTCTGTCAATAGTAGAACTAAAGTTTCGTTTATTAGTGATATTCTTTTTGATTCTAACATTTATTTTAATAGCACAATCGAAAGGACTAAATATTGGTCTTCTTGTTGGCATAGCAATTCTCGGTCTCTTGGCATGCTGTGCTATTTGTAGTTGTTGTTGCTATTGCTGTTGGCCATGCATTGAATGGTTTTCTTCCGCTTTCAGATGGTAAGATGAGAGTTTGAAATCGTAGTATAAACATAAGTTTTCTTTCTACTTATTTAGCGCTTGCTGTCGCTCTATTTGTCAAAACAGATACAAATGCAACAGACATCAGCAACAACTTCCTTTCGAACACTTACATTTGGTTCCTACATCATCACCATCATCAGAGAATCCTGTTAATCGTAGCGCTTATAAACAAAATGCCACCATAAACGGTTCAGGAGGAGCCCGTCTCTCAAATGAATTGGTTGCATTGGGTCTTCATTATGCTGGTGATTCTTTAACAACTCTAAAGAAATCCTTCGCCAATATTCGAAATAGTGTTGAGCTCACAAAGATCGCACGTCAAACTAATCACCAGTTAGTCAAAGAAACAACAACAACGAAGCAAGGTGCGCCATCTAGCAGTTATAACAATGTTGTAATTGTCCACCGTTTAAAACCAACTATAAACAATGCTCAACAAATTGATGATGATTGCAATACTAATACTACTGATGTATCAACTGAGTCCGAAGAAAATGACGATGACAATAATATCAATGTTTATGCTAATGAAAATCAATATCAACAACAAAACAATCGATTTAAGCCTTTTATTAAACAACCAATGAATAATGCAACTGTTAACAAAAAATCACGTCGTAAAAACTCTGCTGTCCCATCTGTTTCTTGTTAAGTGAAAAAAAATTATTTGTAGATGTATGTGTGATCCTCTTTCAATTAATTGATAAATAAAATAAATTAATTCCATACATTCTCAATAGAGATATTTAAAAAAAAAGGTGTGGGTGTTGCTCAAATATCATCAAATTGTCTTTTTGTCATATCACATGATGTATAATCATCGTATCATTAATTACTGTCTTTAAAATCTGTAATGAATTCGTTGATCAACAGGATACACTAGTCGACAATTTTGCCTCGTTTCTTTCTAGATTCTTGGTTTTTTAGTTTATCGGACAAGATTATTTTTAATTATGATGTTTAGATAAAATTTCTTTTGAAAGGAAAGAAAAATGACTCTTATTATAAAGTTAAGATGAAAAGGGTCTTAACTTATTAACAAAAAACTCAAGAATCTGAAAAAATTTAATAGATTTTTCGAATGTCTAGGTATTCAGACATGGTTCTAGGTTAATTTTCAAGGCAAACATGCTATATATATCAATGTCTATATTTTATTTGTTCATTTGTAGACGAGAAAATGCGTTTCTTCAAACAACGTTTGAGTTGCATGCCACTAATAAGTAAGTCAAAATATTTTAGAATCAATGATTTGGTGAAATATCAATCATCGATTCGAGCAACAAATATAAAAACGACGAATCTCACTGATCTGTATGAGTTTTTAATATTCATATAGATAAAATGTAAAGAATGAATCCATTTGAAACAGCAGTAGTAATAATAGAATAAATGAAAGAGTAGAAGACTGCCACAAAGTACATTTTAAAATTCGAAGAATCTCGAAATGTACTTTGTGGCAGTTTTCTACTCTTTCATTTATTAAATAAAATATCTTTGATAATTTTCTTTCTTTGTTTTTATGTAAATACGCCATTTTGATTATCTATTGTTTTTTAAAGAAACATATCAGACACTAGATAAAAAAGAAACCAGGAAAGAATCATAAGAAAAAAAGGATTAGTCAAGAATACAGTAATCTTGTCTGACGAGTCATTTCTTTTCTTATCAGACAAGATTTTGTCTGCAAGAATACCATAAGAATGTTTGGATTTAATTTCTCAAACAAGAATCTTGACTGACAAATTAAGAAAATCAAGAATCTGAAAAGAGGAGAGTCAAGATCGGCGACTAGTATTAATTACTACCTCTAACACTTGTAATGAGCTCATTCATCCAGAGATAATAAAATGTCGTATATTCTATTTCCTCTTATGTCGTTTTTATCCTTTCTTGCATTTATTAATAGAATGAATTATAACTAGGTTTACTTTTATTTTATTTTTTCATATTATGTTTGACAGATCCACAAATAAGGTTTAAGAAATGAGATCTATGAACATTAAACAAAAATCCATCTTTTTTTTTTATTATCACATTTCATCTGCACTTTCGCTTCCCTTTAAGATAATAAGAATATTCTTATAGACACAGTGAATTTCATTCTATGTTTTCAAGCAGTACTAAGTATTCTATTTAAAGACAAAATCAATCTCGAAATTAATATTATATTTATAATGATGTCTTATAAAATGTAATCATATCACGTAAGTATTCAATCAGGGTAAGATTAATAACAATTCATAGAAGTATTTTTTTTTTAATAAACTTATATCGACAATGAAGAAAAAAACGTTTTTTTCCATTATGTCATTTGTTCAAGTTGGTTGCATAGTAAAATTGATAAAAAAGAAAGAATGACTGAACGGAAGTGTTCACATCGTAGAAAACATGACAATAATTATAAAATTCATTTTCATAGACGAAAGTCACGTATAGAAATTATGAGAAATAGATTAATAATATTAAAAATAATTTTTTTATTTATAGATTTTATTAAAAAATGAGCAATACAACGATTAATGGTACTGGTATTCTTTCTGAAAATAATGAAGCTAATATGATTAGTTTCTTTAACTATCTAAACATGACTATATCTCAATATGCTCTCGGTATTATTTGGTTGGTTGGTAATATTGGATCAGTTTTGACCTGTATTGTTTTTTCTCAATCTGTATTTCGTAAGAGTGCGTGTGGTATATATTTCATTGCTTCAAGTTTTTCACAATTATTGGCTTTTAATTTTGCCTTACTCTATCGAATGCTTCAATATGGTTATAATATTAATATTATTAATGTTGAACTCTGGTTTTGTAAAGCACGTTTTTATCTATTCTATGTTCTTATTGCTAATTCTCGTTATAATATTATTATTGCATCAATTGATCGTTATTTTGCTAGTTCACGAAATGCTCTTCGTCGTCAATGGAGTTCAACAAAGATTGCACTACGTGTTATTATTTGTAATGCAATATTTTGGTGTCTTATGTATATTCAAGTAATTGTTGTTTATGTGATCAGCAATAATACGTGTCAACCTCAATCAGGAGTATATGGAATATTTTTTAGTATCTACATTTCAATTGACAGTGGAGTTCTTCCTATATTTTTAATGCTTATTTTTGGTCTATTAACTGCCAAGAATGTTCGTCAAACTGGTAGACGTATTTCACCAGCTACACAAAATTCCAATGATCGATCTGTTCGATCTAATAGAATTTCTAAGAAAGATAGTCAACTGCATAGGATGTTAGTAAATCAAATTATTCTTTTTATATTTCTCAATATACCAAATCCATGTTATCTTGTTTATCGTTCATTTACTATAAATACTTCGAGATCACCACTTCGTTCTACAATTGAATCATTTATTAGTAATATGACGTATGTTCCTCTTTATCTTGGCTTTGCATTGACATTTATTAACTTTGTGGTATCATCAAAAATATTTCGACGAGAATTTCTCAGTCTCATTCAAACAAAAATACTTCGTCGACCGTTGCAATTCTTAGAAAAGGAAAGATGAGCAACAATCAGAAATGATCTTATAGGCAATATCAAGTGAATAAAATCAATAATATGAAGAAAAAACTATGTTTATTGTTAGCTGCTTTTTTGTGTATTTATCTTGCTGTTATCAAATACATTTCTCCTAATGTACAAGTAACGCTCGTACAACTCTGCGTCTATAAAAATGACTCTAAAACAATTTTTTTGTAGAAAAAGTGATTTTTTGTGTAAAAAATTTTTAAAAAAGTAACATCAGATTCGAGGTCCTTGACACCAGGTATTCTTCGGTCAACCCTATAAAAAATAATTTCTTTTATATCTATATATTGACATAATTGATTATCATTAAAGAATGATACTAAAATATTTCCATTGATAAGCATCAATGAAGTTTCCGTCGAAAAAAGGATTTATTGTTAAATTTTTTAATTTTGGTGTTTGTTTAAATAATAATATAAGATCAGAAAATTCATCAATAAAATGCATCATAATGGTTTATTCAACATTAGAAAAATAATGATCAATTTTCATTTTAATTCGTGGATATTTATAAAGATCTTGTATTTTAAATTCATAGTATGATTTAGTAAGTAATATAAATCATTAATATTCGTGACTAAAACATTGACAATTAAGAGAATAATTCCTTTGTTTCGCATATTGAATCAAATAAACGAAAAGTAGATAGTGAAGATATGAATGGTAACATAGTTTTTAATTTGTTTAAATTATTTTTAGTAATTTTAATTAAATTTAATGATTTAAAATGAGTAAAAAGATTGAAAGAAAGATTTGTATTGAATACAATGTATTTTTCTTACCTGATAAATATAGTATATGAATTTGTTATTTTATTTCTTGATCAGATAAAATTTTCTTATAAAATTGAATCTGTTGAATATTTCCACACAGTTAAGATATCTCAAATTTCATGACTGCTTGTATTTTATTCATTATGATGACGATGTACTATTTTGATCGACCTCAAGGAAAAAAAAACAACGACGTATGAGTATGTATTCGTTAGACAAATAATGTATTGCACAACGTGCAGAAATATGTTTGTTCGTTTCTATTGTATATGACACATCATTTTTGCATTCACCCGTAATTTACGATTACTGACGAATTCATCTGCATCCATCCATAACAAGTAAGCAATCATGATGATGTTATTAAGCAATTGTTCTTCCTGATTGCGCAATGTCATCATAGTTATTACGAAATTATTTTCATATAAATATTATCACATTTTTCGAATCGATATTTTTACTTGTAATTAACGACTAAAAATGGCGTCATGGCAAAAAACAGATTTTGATTCATTGAAACATTGTGTAAGATTTCTTGTTGATGTAACTTATAAATAATTTCTATTTTATTTGAAATAGACATCTGATCTTGATCAGATAAACGATAGTGATAATAATTTATACTCAACAACAGAATCAAATTTACATACATATAAAACTCCTGTTAAAAATCAAGCATCTCAAAAGAGTTTAAAAAAGTTATATGATCGTGTCAATCAAATACAACCAGAAAAACTTGATGAAGAATTACGCAAAAGAAATTTATCAACAAGGTAGCATAAAAAAAAATAATTTCAAAACTAATCATGATCAAGAAATTTAATTATTTCCTTTGTGTAGAAGTGTTTTCATTATAATTGTAATCCTATTTTTCCTTCTGACATATATTGCATCTTTTAGTAAATTTACAAATACCAGTGATAGACAACTTCATTTATTAGTTGAATTGACTGACTTAGATTTGAAACCAAGTAATCTATTTTTTCTTTTTTTGGAATAAATAGAGGTGAACTTGGAATTCGACGATGTCGCTTACAACATCATTTGAAATTAGAATTAATGTTTGAATGTGAAAATCCATTGAATATGATTGAACAGCCTTTTGAATATATTGCTGTTCTGGATTTTGAAGCAACATGTGAAGAAAATGCAGGCAAAAATTATCAAAATGAAATCATTGAATTTCCTATTGTATTAATTGACGTAAAACAACAAGCTATTGTAAATTATCTTTCGAAAATTATATTCATCTAATGACATTATTTGTTTTTATTTAGGTTGATAAATTTCATTCGTATTGTCAACCAGCAATAAAACCAATTTTATCAAAATTTTGTACACAATTGACAGGCATAAAACAAGTATGTATTTCAAATTTTTCATTTGGTCCATGATCAAGTTTATTAAACTATAGAAATATAGTCACATGGGACTTCAATAAAATAAATTAATTTATAGTGTATAAGAAAAATCTTTGATTTTAAAGTATAAAAGATAAAAATAATATATCTGAACAATGCATTAGTTTGACATCTAAGTAGTCGAATGTTATAGACAAATCAAGATAAAAACCTTCGCGCTGTTTTTTTTTGTTTACTTTGGATTATTCTTACATACAAAAAAATTATAAATATTTTTTAGCGCCAAGTAGATGATGCTCCTTTATTTTTCGACGTTCTTCATAATGTTGAAACATGGCTATATGAACGAAATCTTCTTTCTTCAACGAAGCAACATAAATTGGCATTTGCTACTGATGGGTATGAATTGAATATTAATAATCTTCTTTTTTTACATATTATTTTACTTGTTTTTTAGTCCATGGGATTTTAGAAACTTTCTTCAAGTACAGTGCCGCTTAAGTTCCATACCTTATCCTTCATGGGCTGAACAATGGATTGATATTCGAAAAGGATTCGCGGAGTTTTATTCTGTAAAACGAACTGGTATAAATAAGATGTTACATAAACTTGGTCTTGATTTTGATGGTCGTCCTCATTCTGGTATAGACGATGCAATTAATATTGCACGAATAACTGTCGAATTATTGAAGGTTTGACTTTTTAACAATGATTTTTTTTCCTAATTAATATATATTTAGGATGGCTGTGTTTTATCATTCAACGATGGTATACATAAATCTAGTTCAGAACATGCAGCAAACGCAGAAGTTAATGAAAAAGATCTCGTTGTTTTTGAAGACTAGTCATTTTTAATTTTCTCTTATTTAAATAAATTTCAAATACTTAACTAAAAATAGAAGCTCTTTTGATTCACGAATTATAATTGTCTCCCAGTATGTCCCTGGAATTTCAATGAAGATGATGAGGGTTTAGTGACTCAAGTATACCCAGCTCTGATGTGAAATAATTCGATGTTTTTATCATCTGAGTAAAAAGTTAACATATATATTTCGCTATATAAACTGCTTCTAATAGATTTTATTCTCGATGCTTTCCATACTCTCAAAATCACCTTGGTTTTGGTGATTAATCGCGATTTTATTTGATTTACCGAAAATGAAAATTTATTTGTTGATTAAGTGAAAAACAAAGAATAGATAAATAGGTGCTAGTTTTTTTTATTTATTCTCTTCTATGTATTGAACATTTCTTGTTTTCATGGTTTAGTTTTATCAATATCAAAAAATTAATTTTGCCTTTTACTTAGACCATTCAAATGAATGGTAAGTTGTACATAAATCCAAATGCAGGGTGATGCTATCTACTACTTTTTATTATAATAAGATAAAAAATTTGACAACGTAGATCATTTTATAAAAAATACATTTATATAGTAGTAATAATTACAATAGAAAAATCACACAATGTCATAAAGAAATTCTATTTTATTGTATCGATATTTACTGCCATAAAGCTTGAAATTCATATTGACCCGATCCAATATGAACTGTCATTATACCAGTAATAGCTTCGCGTTGAACTACAAAGTTTTGAACATGAGTAGTGGTTGCATTTGCTGACCAAATAACTTTATCACCTTCAATCAATGTTTGACAATGACTGTTGGGAAACAATGGTTCAAACACAACTCGAGCTTGTGTATTTGGTGGTATGGTGATGTGCATTAAGATTGAATTAGCAACTGTATCACGTTCATCACGTGTATAAGAAATTTGAACCAGACCATAGAGTGTACTCAATTGACAGTTAAGTTTTGCTAACAGATGTTTTTTTCCTTCCGATGCCATACGAGGTCTAATAGTAATCATACTTGGAGAGATATCAATACCAGCTAAATGAGAATAGAACCAGGCTCCAATACTTCCGTACATGATATGATTACGTGAATTCATGCCAGGTCCTTCAGATGGTGCATCCCATAATTCCCATATTGTAGTAGCATTTTCATATGGATTCATAAACATATAACCATAGGATGGATATGTTGTCGTGGTAATCAATTGAAGTGCTAAATCATGATGGCCATTATCAGATAAAAGTGGATATAATTGAGCAGTAGACACGATACCAGTCGATACGTGATTACCTTTGTCAGTGATATCACTAAGAAGACGAGTAAATACTGAAGCACGAGCAGTTTCTGGAACAACATTGGGTAATGCTAAAGCCAGTACTTGTGCTGCTTGCATTCCATCAGCATAAAAGTTCGTTGTAGTATTGAAGAAAACACGATGAAATTCTTCTGCAAGTTGTTGATAGAATGCTGAATAAGCTTGAGTATCTGACGTTTTGCCCAGTACTTGTGACATATTGATTATAAGAGAAACATCATGAAGAAAAGCGAACGATGCATCAGATGTTGATTACTCATAGGATTTGGTGGTGGTGGAACCCAGTCACCAAACTGATAGGCAAGATTGACAAGACCTGTATTGTTATAACCACTGCGTATATTTTCTACGTAGGCACGAACATGATCATAGTAATTAGATAAAATCTGGCTATCACCATAATGACGATAGAGTTGCCAAGTAATCGTAGATAAAGCAGTGCCCCAATTAGGATCAGATGGGTAACCTCCACCATTTGGAACTACATCAGGTATGGCTCCATTACTTTGTTGAACATCACAGATTAAATTAAGAAAATTCAAATAGAATTTGATCAAATCAAAATTGTATAAAGCTTCGTTGACTGATAATGCTGCATCTCCCATCCAACCACGACGTTCATCACGTTGTGGACTAATATGAAGAAAAATAGGATAAAAATATACTTCAAATTGATGATTTAAATTTAAAAAAATCGTACCAGTCTGTAGGTACCGACATGATATTGCCTAGTTGACCCCATTGAATATTATGTTGAATTTGATTAATGATTGCATTACTACTGGAAAAGTTGCCTTTCAAAGTTGTTTCACTATGTACGACAGGGCATTCAACATCATCAACTGTCAATGGATTTGGAGCTCCAGAGACTTGAAAATATCGAAAACCATGTACAGTAAAACTACAAAAAAAAACCAGTACAATGATATATTCATAAAAAAGGGCGAGAAAACACATACGTTGGCTCATAGATTTCACCATTTGGATCTCCACGTAGCATGTAACTATCAAATTGTGTAGCACCGCGAAGATTTTCCGTATATATTCCACCGGTCCATTGGCTAACACGAAAGAGTATATTTGAAATATATCGTAATCTCTGTCGTACCCTGTGGAATGAAGTGGTTGCGATAAGATTTCGGCATGACGAAAATAAACACCTACTCCACGAAGACCACGTAATTTGACACGACACCATCCTACCATATTTTGGCCTAAATCGAATGTGTGTATTCCTAAAGCATATTTAACAATAAATAAATAGATTATTATAGTAAAAATAAATATGTACCGACAGTAGGTTGTGATACACTGATTGGTTTCAGTACACTACTACGTCCATCCGTGAACGATGCACCTTTAATTCCACTTAAATCACTTGCTTTCAAATATTCTTTATTTTGATTAAATACACTTGTTTCAAAATGTAACGCATCTACTCCAGCTCGAATCGGTGGCATGTCTTGCAATACCAATTGACCATTGAGTGCATCACTAACTGGTGATGGTAAGGATTCTACCATAATCCAAGCTGATAATGAATCATTAAATCCTGGTCGTGTCCAGCCTTCACGATCATTTCGAGCATCATATGATTCACCATTGTAAACACTATCGCGTAGAATAGAACCTTGACGACCCGTCCATGTCTGATCACTTAAAACTTGCATTTGCTCACCATTTTGGAACGTAATATTCAAAATAAAGAGAAGACGAGGAGGACCTACAATTATAAGAAGATAATTTCTATTGAAAAAATATTTTTTGCACCTTACCATAGCTTGGTACACCTAGTTGTTCTCCACTATACCAACCATTGCCCAATTTGACTCCAACAGCATTCATACCAGCCTATATAAATAATTAAGTAAACTAAGAAAAGAATATGTATTTTTGAAAAATTATCCCAACCGTAATATTTGATGTTAAATCAAAAGATGTAAGGAATGTACGTATTTCGAATGTTGTCCAACCTGGATCCAATTTGCGACTAGGATCTACATTGTAACCATTTATATAGAGTTGATAATATCCAATGCCAGAAATATAAACAATAGCTGAACGAACAGGACTTGTATTTGGTACTGAAAATTCTTTTCTTAATTCATTCATATTGATTTGTGTCGAACCAATCCATAAAGGATTTGCATTTGTCGTTAAATATTCATGTAGATTGAATATTGCTGTTCGAAATTGAATCCAGCTAGTCCACTGAATAGGATCTTTTGACATTGTAGTCCAAATGCGTAAACGAAAACGATAGTTGGTTCCTGGTAAAAGATCATGTTCACCTGTATATGGCACATGAACAGATTGTGTCGATGCAATTCGTTCACTATCCCATTTGAATGAACTATCCGTTTCGGATATTTTGATTGACTCAAGTTGTAATTGATAAGCTATTTGTTGAATATTTCTTTGAGTAGGATCATTTGAAATTGGAAGTTTCCAAGAAAATCGAGGTCTCGGCGTATTAATAATCAGATCGCGAGTTGTCTCAGTCTTGTAATGATCGATACGTACGTCAAATGGAGACAATCGTTGAGCATGAACCACACAGCAAAGTATTACAATGAATAGAACAGAATAACACATTAACCAACGCATAGTCATTTGTTATTCTGCAAGACAATGGTAGAAAAACTTATAAAAAATATGAAAAAATATTTCTTTTTTATTTGCTTATATACCACCATTATCTTATCATCCCTTGCTTTGTGTCTTGGTACTCTGTGAAGAAGTAAAAAAAGGTTTGCCTAAAACATAGATATAAGTACTATTACAAGAATAGAAATTGTTGATGAAAGAATATAAAAAAAGAAAAATTCTTCTCTTCATTTTTCTTTTCAGCCCAGTTAACTCGTAGACATATTTTTATGATAAACATCAACTTTATCAACACTTTGGAAAGAAACCATTTTGAAAAAATAATGTAAGCATCAAAGCATGCATGATAGCATAATTCTCAAATGAATACTTTGAAGATAAAAAATAGTATACAAATTGTAATTAATTAACAGAATGCAGATTATTAAATTATTATATTTATTTACAAAGCATAATAATACAAAATGAGTAGATCAAAAGAAATATTTGTTTTTACGTCGATGGAATAATCTCGACAGATATGCGTGGTAATTCATTCATTGGTAATACTTCATTTTGAGTTAGTGTTCGCCATCGTTTTAGATGAATACCAAACAATACATAATGAAGCTGTTTTCGAAATCGGTCCGATACACAAATATAAATATAGAATGGAATCTAAAACAATTATTTCATATTAATTTTTTTCCAACAGAAAAAAAAAGATTTATATTTACTGCATAATATAAATAATAAATACAAGTCGTTATTGCAATAGCAAATCGAACTTGAATAGCAATAACTGGATCTTGAGTAAGAGTAGTAAATGATGCAAAAGTAAGTACAATAAAGCATGGTGTAGTAGCAAAGATATTAAAAACAGTTTGTGCAAGTACCATGATGGTTAATTGAACTTCATGTCGATGACGAACAAGAGGAACAACTGTTCGATGTGAAATTTGTTTTACATTACGATATGCTAATAAACCAAATATGATCATTATAGTAAGTGGAATAATACACATTAAGACAGGTACATGAAAATCATTGTAATATTTACTGAAGATTGCGTTCGTAATAGTACAACTTGGTGTTCCTCCATTCGATGATACAACAATATTATAGTAAAGTAAATAAGGAATACCATAGATAGACCAAAAACTAATCATTATACCTGATAGGCAATAGGCTATTTTTGTATTACTCCATCGTTGCCATCGAGGATGAGCAGATGTTGATAAAAATTGATCAATTGTTGCTAAACACATACACATTGGAGAAACAATTGCACACATTTGAAATATATAATTGCGTAATTTACAGTAAGCTAATGATGTTTGTGTCCAATCAACACCAACTGCATTAATTAAAACACGAGAAAGAAGACCTGTTAATAATTGGCCGATATTAATAATTGATACTACAGTTAAGTAGGATGCACTTGAACTTTGTCGATATGTTCGAAGACTTAGAAAAATAATTATATTAATTATTCCTCCAAATATTCCTCCTATAGTAACGATTATACCCATGTAAATATAGGTATTGGATATAGCATGAGTTAGTGATGATATAATCGAGTCAGACATGTTGAGCTAGAAATGAAAACTTGTTAAATGAATGCTTAGCTTTCATCATTGCCCGCCAGCTAGAAATAATTAAAAGTTAGATTATTTTTATCTTTAATCTTTCTGCACGATTTAGCCTACTAAAAAAATATGCTGAATCATTGCCATTCATGTCTATTAATGAATTTTTACTCTGAAAAGGAAATGAAATATTACATTAAGATTCACATCTCCTTTTGTTGATTAATTAACATATTTTTATTATAGAATAAGCTTTTATCTTCAATCTTTTCATTTTTTTTTTTAATTTACTCGTGTTTCAGACATTAAGATAGTCACCTTTAAAAAATGATTAAAAAAAAGCAGTGACTGGATATCCGGTTTTATAAATAGATTTTCATGTGAAATGAAAAAAAAATTTAATAGCTTGATGTTAAACGGTTTAGATCTTTATTAATATGTCGCATGATTTAGTTAACTAAAAAGTTACATCATCTATATTTTTCAAATGGAAAAAAGACTAAACAATACAATATGAAATAGAAGTTAATTAATGAGTATAAGGATGTGGGTGTGAAGTGATATAATCCTCATACATTCACCCACATCCTTGGAAAACAGACGTCATACCTAACATTTTATTTTTTCAAAAAACTCTTTTTCTTCCGTTTTAATTAGCATATATGAAAACATTGTTTGTTCCTTTTAACAAATTATCTCGTTAGAAAAATACTAAACATTAATCGTTATACGTCAAAAGGCAAGCAGATATCAGTGAATAATGTATGCAAATGAGTGTTGAACACAAAATAATTTTCCATTTATAATTTCAAGTGAATCAGACGATATCTAAAATTGATATGTGAATGTGTATTATTTAAAAAAAAAAGAATCATCTCCATACATATACAACCAACATAATGAAGCATTTTTTTAATGTTATGTGTTTTCTAGTGATGACGTATGATTTTCATAAAATTATAAATAGTTATCACAAAATATCTAAGAAAAATGTTACGACATACGGCAATTGTAAAACAGACGTCATACCTAGCATTTTATTTTTCCAAAAAACTGTTTTTTTCCGTTTTATTTAGCATATATGAAAAAATTGTTGGTTCCTTTTCATAAACTATGTTGTTAGAAAAAAATGAAGAGGTGGATAAATAATATGCTGATTTTATGTTAGCTAGAGAAAACTAGAAAAAGTTATTTTATCCGAACTAAACTAATAAGTAAAATACACGTTTGAAGAAATCGAGTTGTTTCAAATATTTTATTCGATCAAAATCTTTTATTTGTTAGTCATGGATACAAACGAAAATCAAACATCAAATTCTGGAACAATAGCAAGGTATGTGCTTCTTTGTTCTTTTTTACAAGGAACAAAACTGGCGTTGTATTGTTTTTACAAAACAGATTTCTTGGAAGAAAGAAACGGTCAATATGGATTATTGGTGGTATTGCAGCTTTTGTAGTAGTTGCAGTGATTGTTATTCCAACAAGTATTGTTTTGACAAAAAAGAAAACAGCAGAAATAGCATCAACAACAATATCGAGAGAAGACTCGACTACAATATCAGCAGAAGTATCAACGGTGAATGCTCATTTCAAAAGTAAGTAACGACTGTCTATAACGCATTGAACAATTTCACAATTATATATTCAACGTGATTTATTTTCTGCTGAATATCTATGTTTTATATAGCAATCTTCATTTCTACTGTTACTAAAGAAAGGAAGAGTTCACAAGAAATCAAACTTATCCTGTATTACTTTTCTGCATAAGCTAGTCAATCTTCAGTCGCTTTAGTCTCGTTATATTCACACCCCTCAAGATGGACGATTAAGATTGGGTGAAATTTCATCCAGCTTTGATAGGTGGGTGTGAGTACCCATTCTTCACTCAGCCACACCCTCAAATTCATTATAACACCAGTATTATTGATGTAATTTTGAAATCTACTAGGAAAAAATCTATATCAGTGAAATATTATTCGTGCCCGAACTGGGTGGAACCGTTGTGAAGTAAGATTCAATTAGACCGAGTGTGTCTTCCAAGTCCTTTGGACTGAATCCAACTATACTTAGCTAAGGCTAAGTCAATATGGGTAAGGTAACTAAATTTTCTGAATCTAATAGAACCGAGTTGAAAGTGTGGGTGTGATGGTAAGATATCGACCACGCCCACTCACTCACACCCACATTTTTCACTGAAGACAAGAGAACACATATTTCAATTTGTGCTAAATATTTTTGTTATACAAAATACGTAGATGATTCAAATTCGAGATTTTTTTATCCAAATCATCAATTCTGAATCGTTATGCCAGTTATCAAAGACAATTTTCATTCAAAGAAAATAGTTCCATTCAGTAATTCATATATATTAATAATCAGTGATGTACAGTGATTATTTAAATATATTTGTGGTTTCTTTTAGATTGGGTTCAAACAAATAATATGAAGGATTCACGAAAATCTCATACAGCATCTGTATCAAAGAATGGAAAAGTATTGGTTGTTGGTGGATATATTGAAAACTCTGGCTATGGTGTTAGCAGTGCAGAACTATACGATCTATCAACAGCAACTTGGACACTTACTCCTCCCATGAATGATAAACGATGCTGGCACTCAGCATCTCTATTACTTAATGGGACAGTATTAGTTGCTGGCGGATATGACGGTGAAAAAGATGTGAGTAGCTCAGAATTGTATCATCCAGAAACAGAAATATGGGAAAAAATTGGCAATATGAATACTCAAAGAAGCCAACATACTGCATCTGTCTTATCAGATGGAATGGTATTAGTTACTGGTGGAGACGATGCTGGGTAATTTCATTGAGATTTCATAACAAATTAGAAAACGTTTCTCTTTTCGATTTTGATATTTCAACTAAACGTATCATTGTAGAAAATCTTTAGAGACAACAATAAGAAATCTTCTTTCCTACATAAACCTTGAAGATTTAGATTGTGCTTAAAAACATCTCTTTTATTGTTTTACTATGTTGAAGTATTCCCATATGTTTCTTATATGAGTTAGTAACATATTATTTGTCATTAAGTCAAGCTATTCATTTAAGAATTTATTTCTAAGAAGTCTTTTTTACATATGTTTTTTCACAATTTAATTTATACAAACTAACACTCGGATCAATCTGGAGTGCAGTCGTATTCAGCTAATCAATACAAGATAGTAAGAGTAGGAGAAAAAAAATGAATTTATAAATTGTTCTCATCGATCTATACTAAATCAAATAACAAATCCATATTTGACGGAATATTAAGATTTAGAAAAAGAAATCATTGATGTTCCTAAGAATCTTTAAAACATTCATATCAAAATCCAAACTGTGTAATTCGGATTTGTTTCATATCTATTCTTTATTAATTATTCTTATTCAATTATATTACTGAGTTTCAATATTTTTGATAATAATTCTTTCCTATCTAGTTCATTATTTTTAATTAAGCCTAGTAACATCAAATGTTGGAGAAATAACCATTTAAAAATAATAGTTCATGAGTTAAACAGTGATATAAAGTTCGAATCCATGAAAGATGCTCCCGAGACCTTTGCTCCCCAGCGGCACTTGCTCTCCTGAAATATTTACTTTCCAATATTAACTGTCGATCGGCAAGATGATCATTATTAATAGAGCTTGGGTGTGAGCGTCGAAGATGATACAGTCGGAGAAAAGATTACAACACACACACCGACACTAACACCCACACCCACATCCAAACTGCATATATATGAATACTTCTATATAAGTAAAAGTACATTGAGTTGTCTTTCAGAACAATCTATGTCTTCAGACTAATTATATCAGAGTAGACTTTTCTTATTACTATCAATCATTTTTAAGACATTATGTCTAAGTAACAAATTAAAATCGAAAAGAAATTCTGTTCAACAAACCATTTGAAACTCATTAGATTTCGTTTTTTAGTATTGCTCTCAATAGTGCTGAGTTATATAATTCATCGACTGGAACATGGACACCAATTATTAATATGAATTATGCACGAAAATGGCATCAAGCAACTACATTAAAAAATGGTAAATTATTAGTAACAGGTGGATCCAGTGGAAGTGAAAATCTAAACACTGCTGAAATATACGATCCATTGAGTAAAACATAGACAACGACTGGCACTATGCGTAATGCACGAGCCCTCCATACAGCATCTGTCTTAGCCAATGGAAAGGTATTAGTTGCTGGTAGGGAGTCAGATGATATGACAAGTGCGGAATTGTATGATTCAGAAACAGGAAATTGGACAATTACTGGATCTTTAAATTTTGGGAGAGAGCGTCATGCAGCATCCGTTTTAACCAATGGAAATGTATTAGTTTCTGGGGGAAATGAATTCTTGTATTATTATTATAAAGGTTCAGAGATCTACGATCCATTAACGGGGATATGGTATATGAGTGGTGATATGAACTGTGCAAGATTTGGACATCAGTCATCTGTTTTACCAAATGGAACAGTATTAATTACTGGTAGACCAAAGGGTTGAACCTGACTTACCTAAATGCAATGCAGAACTATATTAAACCCTTAGGAACGGGCGACGTATATATACGTTCAGCTTCGAATTAACTTATAATTAATTTTTGTATACCGCTTATGATGTTGTTATGATCTACGCCAGCACATAAACTGCTAATCTATTACACTGCTATTGATATTGTGATCTCATACATATTTTGCTTTTTGTACTTGTATCCATCACTCGTGGTTTCTTTATCGTTATGAATTCATTTTTTTCTAATTCGTCATTATTCTGTCAATTTTCCGTATATATATTTGCATTGATTTTTATTTTATTTTTTCTTTATCAGGTGGTAATGAATTGCGACTTCTAAATAAAGAACGTAATAATATTTGTAATTGGCAGTCTGCGCGCTTATATTTCTTTTGTAAACTAAATGACAGCAACAAGAAAATGCAGTAAAAATGAAAATAATGAGGTTTCCAGTCATGAATTAGAGATGCTAATCAATGATCCCATGAAAGTTTTGGATAATAAAAATACTCCTTCAGCTGACACCTCCAATCACGCATCAAGAACATGGTAAAAAAAGCAACTTTAGATTAACATTATTTTCATTTCAACACAACAATTGCAGTATAACCGTTGATCTAGTTGCGAACTCACCGCTATATTTTTTCAAATGAGTTTTTGATCAAAAGTTTTTACAGATGATTGTTGATCAGACAAACAAATTTTAAGCAGATTCTACTAATAAACAATCAATATATTCGAAAAAACATTCTTTGACTTCAGTTTGATGAAGATATACACCGCAAAACTCATATAATTCTTGAAGCGTTTGATAACAACAGCTCGTATTTTAGTCTAACACATCTCATGCACTAAAGTTAAAAACAAACGAAGATTTCTCATAAAATATTTTGATTAGGACCTCACAGCAAGTAATATTTAACTATATTTTGACTGACTTTTTTAAACAATGATATAATTTCTTCTAAATTGAGAAATATAATTTATTTTTATTTTAGGTAATTATGTAAGACAGTTGAAACACATCTCAATTCACAGAAAGAATGCTTCTACAGGCAAATGGATGAGGTAAGCTGAAACGTAGGGTTTTCACACTTACATAATAACAATTGTCAACAAGATCTTGAGAATAGAATGAATAAGAAGAATGTTCACACTCCCAAGATAGACGAGAGTATGGTGCTCACTGCTACAAGAAAATCAACGAACAAACAATCAAGAAAAACAAGTAATGTGACAGCAAAGAAAATAGAATTCCATCTGTCAAACGAATTTGAATGAAACTGTTGTGTTTTCATACAAAAAAACAGTTTTAGATATATTTCAGGAGATTTATTAAGAAAAAAATCGTAACTGCAGCATTTTATTTTATAAAAAAAAGGAGAACAAATATTCACTTCTCCCTTAAACAAAAGTAAATATAGAATTATCATTATTTATTAAACGAAGAAAAAAAAATTCTTTATCAACCAATGAAAAAAAACACATTTGTAAGATAATCATCGATGTTTTTATTTCAGTTGTAGAAACAACAGAATAATTACGCCATAAGTTAGAAGTTTGTTTGGCAGTGCGTCATTAAATATCGAAGAGACTCACACCCACATACGCCTCATGTATGTTTACATCGGTTAAAAAATAGTTTATTTACAGAATTATCATTTGTTCAAATGTCATATCTAAAAAAACTGCAAAGAATCCTTTTTTCACCGTCTAGAAAATGTTTCATATGTCATTGAGACATCGAACAATTCGTTGTCTGAAGAAAAAAGAAAGAAGTGTTTCTTTATAGCTTCTTATTCCATAAAGAATATAATTAAAAAACTCTGGAATTATTTATAACCTTCGATCAGAATAATGAAACAGAAATTGATCAAAAATAAACTGAACTTCAACTGGAATACTCTACCAAACAAAACAAAAACAACTACCGTAGAAGTTCGATTTACAATCAAATCAAAATGATTTTCACTAATTTTTTGTTTTCATTGATTGTTATTAATTTTGAACTCAAAATAAAAAAAAAAGTATACCTGGAAAAACGTCTTTGAATACTTCGAGATATGATAATTCTATCTTTTCTTCTGCTTAATTATCTGAGATGTTAAACTAGTTGTTTCACTTTTCCCATTTTTGTGTTCCAGGCTCATCTCAATTTCAATACAGTTCTGTATTTGTTTTAGTATCGAAATTTATTTATTATAGTAATAATTGAATTATGCTTTACATGGAATATGAAGCCAAAAATAGTACATTTTTCAATTTGGTTATTTTTTCTGTTGACGAATAGACAGAGAATAACATGACCGGCAACGAACTGACAGTACGATAGTTTTCTAAATGACTGAGAAAAAATATTCCAACGCAGTATCTTAGTGTTCAAGTAATTTAACATCATTAAGTTCAATAATAGCTGATCACTATTCAAAATAGATTACTTTACGATTACAATGATCATATACAGCAACTCACATATGATTGAGAAGCATAGAAAAATTAAAAAAAATTGTCATGAATGTTAACGAAATACAAAGAATAGAAAGGTAAATAATATTTTCAATTTATTATCGATGGTGCACGGAATTTCTTGACATAAAATTTATGAGACTAAATTAGATGTAAAAAGAACATTCTTTTAATTGAATTTGATTTAATAAGATCGGCGTAATTCACATCTATGTGAAAGAAACCTTTGTTTAATATAAATATCTTCTCATTCTGAAGAAACCCATACGATGTACAGTTAGACATTGTTTGTTTCTCTTCTCTGGAAAAGATATATAATCCAATGCATTAGTGAAATAAAATACAATCACTCATTTTCATCTCAAAATACAACATCAGGCATTTGGATTATAACTCAAACTGATAATCTTCATTCAGTATTGTTAACTACACTCGCAGATACACACAGTATCCTAGATTATTCTTCATTATCACTTCCATCTATCCACGAAGTTTCTCGTCAAGTTCGTAAATCATTTTTTGTTTTCATTCTTAAGAATTATTTTAATGTAGTATCATCGTTCACTAATAAAAAATACGGAATTGTTTATTGCTACTCATACAACTATGCAACCACTAAAATATAGAACTGCTCGAATCAATAAGAATTCTGTCAGTCCAGAACACAATTTGTTCCCAGTTATATTCTTGAAATTTTGAATTCATCATATTTTCTTTTTTGATTTTGATAGATATCAACTATTTCGATTACTCGCCATAAACGTAATAACATTCAGCCTGCCGCAATCCAAGGAAAACGGGTTTTAAAAATGGATAAACCCCCCGTCTTCGTATCTCCAGTGTCTACACAAAGTACTCCATTATCATCATATGTAAGATAATAGAATGATAAGAACATGTTACTTATTGAATTTTATACACCTAAATATTTTGTGAAACACAATCTGAAAAAGTGTTGAAATATATCAGGGTAGAAAACTGCATTCCTTTCCCTATAGTCTGTGACATATATAGTAGTATTGTCGTTCTCTTCGTCATGACTATGACAGACATATCTATGAATATGCATTTACAACAACTAGTAAGTGACAAACCGAAAAATATTCTGATAAATTCCCTCTTTTGTAGTACCAACAGCTCCATCATATTTTATATTTTTATCCAACAGGAATTGTACTAACAGCTGAACCTTTGAAGATTTGGAAATTATTTAATTTTTGTTTTCTCGATAAGTTTTTTTTTAAGTAGATACATCGTCATTGAATTTCTGTAGGAAATAATAAAACTTCTGGTTTTGTACAAATTTGAAAGTACATGACGTCAATGAATTGCAAATCAAATATACATTAACTTACTTAGAAAATATTACTAGGAACTGCCAGTGTTTCCATATTTCTCCCTTATTTTCACTTAGAAGGATACTCTGGATGTGTGTTCGTCCTCAACCTCAACTTCTTTCGTAACGTCGTACTTATCAACAGCTTTCAACCTTTGATTGTACTTAATGGGTGACAGAAACTGACTTGATTTAGAATTGATCTTTTTCGAATTATTTTGTTATTTATTTACGTCATTCTGTAGGCAGTCTATGACGGAAATGAATTACAAAGTAACTCAAAACTTTCATACATTGTACAGAGTGTCAAACAAACTACAGGTCTCGCTCGTGTCGATCGCCTTTTGTTGGATGCATTTAGTCAAGCTTTTCAACGAACCTGTGCACCACTTTACTACATTTCACAAACCTTATTCTGTGTTGTAGTAATACGAAATCGTGTTCCGTACTAAATCTAAATTCTGTAATAAATCTTGAATTGATCTCATTTTGTAAGCCACAACTTTTGTATGCGGCTATATGTTTCTGACGAATGTATCCAGTTGCGAACTATCTCCAAGAAAACTATTAGCATATTATTATTACCTTAAAATCTATTATTTTTAGGTTTACACAAATCGAAAGTTTCAATTGTCTCCGGAGGTGCATCCACCGTACGTTGGATCAGTTGTAAATATGATGCAGGCAACTGATAGTGGATCAGATCGAACAAGCCTTTACGATAGTGGATCCGATCGAACAAGCCTTGAGGAGAGTGGATCAGGTCGAACAACCCTTAGGGATGATAGATCAGATCGAACAGACCTTAACCTGTTCGCCACGATGGGACCTACTGGTAGGTTCCGCCTTCATTTTGTTGGGCTCCATGATGGCGAATTGCTTAAGGATGGACAGTACCTACGATCGAACAAAAACCAAAAAAAATCGTAAGTTACATTTTTTATTTTATATTATTTATTAGAATTTAAAAAAAAATTTCATTTAGCTGTTGTTGTCAAATTTATCGTCGATGTTCGCCCGTCTGTTTGGTGCTCTT